GCCTAATCAAAGCGTGCATTTTTAAAAAAAATATATTTTTTAACGCCTATTCAGGGCGTGGATTTAAAAAAAATTTAAGGCCTAACGAAGGCGTTTATTTAAAAAAATATTTTTTCAAGGCCTAATCAAGTCGTGGATTTAAAAAATATATATATATATTTGTTAAGGCCTAATCTAGTCGGGGATTTAAAAAAATATATATTTATTTCAAGGCCTAATCAAGTCGTGGATTTTTTAAAAAAATATTTTTTTCAAAATATCACGCTTAAGGGACCTTGAGTAATATTGCATAAAAAATGCAACCTGTCTAGTACACGAAAAAAGTAGTCCTCAAAAACTCCATGCTTGCTGTTGGTTAGTAAATATATATGACAGGATCAGGTCTGATTGGACATATGTAAATGTGTATCAGCCCTATTTCATAATTTTTTATAAAAACTTTATATATTCGTATGAATTTAAGGATACCTTCCCCTTCCGGATTTTTTTAAAGTTTAGATTTTTGGTTGATGATAACCATAGGTTTTCATCATCCCATTAAGTTCTCGCACAGATTTCATTCGAAACCTCTCAGAAGTGTTTGAATTCATACCTCATCAGTGAATGAGTGTGTGAAATTAAACACGATTAAAAAATAAATTTAATAAAGCAATTGCGGTTATAAAAAAACAAGCACTTGAGAGGAGCCACTTGAAAACGCTTGTGAAGGACTTCCTTCGTCTACAGCAACGACGACAACAACAAAGCAAATCACTCAAAATACCAAAATATTAAAATTGTTCAATTAACCATGGAACCTTGTCGGGCAACCCTAAATGGAGACCAGACCATACTCAGTCGCGTCGAAGGCAGACAGTTTTCAATTGGAAAGCCACAAACGACAAGCATATTAATTAATTTGCAAATTTACCTAATTGATGTTAATTAAAACTTTATAAACATTTTTATCCCTATTTGAGGTAATTGGTAAATCGATGCACCCTCCCTCCCTGCCAACTTCCTTCAACAAACTCCACACAAAATATGCATACAGAGTTTGCATTTGTGCCCTCAACATCGTCGCCATCAAATTGATAAACCGCCATTAATATTTACAACGAGATCTGCGACTCCATCATCATCATCAGCAGCAGTAGCCGCATCAGCCTTGGAGCCATAGCCAACCATCCATCCATTGGTCGAAATCAATATTGAATTATTTGCAATCAAACGTTTATTCTTTTCAATTTTCATATCGCTTCTGTTGTTTTTTCTTGTTTTTGGTTTTGCCAATTCAATATTTGCCGACAAAACCCCCCATTTTTAGCTGTTAGCAGGCTATCGGCCTGTTGGAACTTTCCGAACACAGCCCTCAGATAGATAGATGGGAGATACAAATTATTATTGCATCCATGCTAGCCATAGACTACTGCTGACTGACTATTTGTTGGTGTGGTATCCCTCATCCCGCACTCTTCATCAGCGACGTTGTCATCAAAGCTGCCCCATCATGTACATACAGCTGCACAACAGCAGCAGCAGCAACAAAAAAATACCGTAAATTAAATTGATAAACCACAAATTAATTGAGAGAGGAGCGCTTTAATGGAGTGTATTCAATTTATTGTATATCGAGTCAATGGTTGGTCAAATGCTGCTGTCGTTGTCGTCATCTTCATGCATTTGTGGCAGCCAATATTGATGCAACATGTGTGGCTAACTGTCTGCTGTTTTCCAGTTTCTTTTTTTTTTTCATTTCATTTGCAAAAAAGGGGTCGCGATTAAATCTGTCAAAGAGAGAAAAAACGGCAAAACTCCACTGGAAATGAAAAACTGATGCATCGATGGGGCAGGCAAACAAACCAATCCCCAATCATCAAATGTGTGGTCTAAATTTGAATTTGTGTGTGTGTTTTTTTTTCTTTTTTGGGTTAATAAGCCAACATGAAAATCAATCAAAAATTAATTAACTTAATTGAAAAATGTAATAATATTTGGGGAGTATTTTTCATTTGAAGATATAATATTAATAAAATTGTCAGATTTTGGAATTTTTGTTCAGTTAAATTTTTATTTAAAAAACCTAATGCAAATTTCTCAATATCAAACAGTATGGTGAATATAGTTTTGGTCCAAAAAACTAAGATTCGTAGGGAACTACTTTACGACAAAATAAATTCCGACCATTATCGATAACTTAAAATATCGGTCCTACCATTAGGTCAAAATTCAATCTTAGCTTGCAAATAATGTACTTACTTTTTCCGACTTTTGTTGTATGATAAGTTAATATGTCTATTTTTCTTTTCCAATTTCAGACAAAATTTCAACGTAACTGACAATACTGAACCTGGTAAGTGTGATATAAAATATTTTGTGTTTGTTCCCATACCCAATAACTAGTAAAACTTTTAAAATTTATGAAGGAGATAATGAAGGAGAACAGGTCATGGGTTTGCGTAGTATTGTATGAAATAACGGGGATATAATAATGTTCACAGTGCGATATTTTTAAACAGGCCAGCGGGATCGATCAATTTTCGTGTGAAAAATCCATTATTTGTTTATGAACTATTGGACTTTATTTAACATCCTTTGAAATGTCCGATTTGTGTCAAATATGCTCCGTTTTGTTGTATGATTTGTTGCCATTTTGAAGGTAAATTCATAATGCCTCTCTCATAGAAGTCCTGATCTCTATTTGCAAAAAACTCTATTAGTCGATGTTCATAATCCTCCTTAGATACCATTTTTTATCATTAAAGAAATTTAGCAATGCAAGAAAAGGATGATAATCGTTTGGTGCCAAGTCCGGAAATTTTGCAATGCAAGAAAAAGATGATAATCGCTTGGTGCCAAGTCCGGACTGTATGGCGGATGCATTAAAACTTCCCAACAAAGTTCCCAAAGTTTCTGGCGAGTCACTGTAGATGTAGCGTTGTCCTGGTGGAACACAACATCTCTCCTGTTGGCCAATTCTGGCCGTTTCTGGTTAATTGCTATCTTCATACGGCCATGTTGTTGACAGTATAGATCAGAATTTAGCGTTTGTCCATATGGAAGCAACTCATAATAAATAATCCCCTTCCAGTTCCACCAAATGCATAGCAAAACCTTCCTAGCCCGTAGTCCTGATTTAGCCACCGTTTGAGGTGCTTCCCCGCTCTTTGACCATGATCGTTTTCGCACGGGGTTATCGCTGCCAATCGGCAGATTATTTTGAACTTTTCAGTCAAAATTCGACCCGATTCTAGGCAACAAAAACGGATGTTATTATTCAAAAAATAATAACACTTACTATACTCCGAATTTGGATCTGAAGTTAGAAGTTTATGTCACAATTTTAGACATCTGCTTCTAGGTTATAGTTTCTGATTCGACATATTAATTGTTTATATTCCCTTCCACAAATCTATTTAATTTTATAGATCCTTATACAGTATAATTAAGACACCTAAATTTAGTTAATTTTATACTAGAAATTTTAATTTAATGTCTTCTTGGTTAGTCGCCCAATTATTTCGATAGACATTATCCATTATTGTGTTGGATTCCGTTCGCCACTACGCTGACCTCACTATGTCAAAACATGGACCTAATTCCAAAGCTTTCAGTCAAATAAGTTTTTAATCTTCCAAGAGACTGTAATGTCAATTTACAGCCTCTTCTGATGCCTAAACCTTTAAAATACGCCACGGAGTAGACTGTGTAAACAGGCAAAATATTCGCAAATGAATCCTCCAACAACCCAGAATGACAACTTAGTAGAAATTTTGTTGGAAATGCGGATAAAACTTTCAAAATACTAGAAATTTTACGGAACCCTTATGAGGTGGCTATGAACCTATATCCAAAACATTATACAAACAAATGTTTCGGCCTTCAAGAACACATGTATTACAAAAATCCAAATTTTGGTATACCTCAAAAAATATTATTTAAAAATATATTATTTAAAAAATTCAAGCTCTGATGGGCCCTTTAAAAATTATTATTAGGAATTTTAGTATGGTTTTTTTTAGCCTCCGAATTATTTCGATAGAGAACCATAGCTTATTCTTGCCTTTATGGTCAAGATGTAGAAACCATAGTTAAATAAAGGAACAAAATGGATAAAAAAATTTTATGAGCAATTGTCCGTCGTGATTAGATTTCGATTTTTTGTCTATTTTTATTTTTAATCCGACTGGACTCAAATGTTGTATTTAGGTATTTCATGGCTCAACAATTCGGTATATCAGGTCATTCCAAAAATATGCAAAATCCGAGGTTTGTCATGATGAAAGGTTCCAAAAAAATATTCTGGTGTTCAATAATTTTTACTCAACTGGCAACTTTTTAATAGATTATTTCCTAGTAAGGAAAAACTGATATTTGCCGATAAAAACGTTTTTACTGCAACCCGCCTAAAGGTTTTTGGGAACCGATTTTATCTACCGAGTTGGCTATGATTTGTATTTTAGGTTCTCATTGGGTAGGAAATCTGGAAATTTCAATATTGGCCCACTTTTGAGGGACCCACATAAAGATACCACCCAAATTACTTTATTTTAGACACGTTCTCAACCAAATTGGCTGTAATTTAGTATTTATGATGATCAAAAAAGTATCAGTACTGATTTTGCGGTTTCGGAGTAGGCCCCATATAACGGTACCACCCATTATTCAGTATTTTGTACATGATCTATTGGGTGGCAAATCTTCTTATCTCCATATAAATTTTGCAATCGATTTTAGGTATTTTGAATGTTCACCTCATGATGGGGTATATAAAAAGTTCGGCCTTCAGATTTTAATTATGTATTTACTTATTAACAAATCAATCTCAAATAAATATTTGTTTCTCTTCTTTTTTAAAAATTGTTTCTGTCACAGATTCCTATGATTTCAATACTCCTTTATTGACTTGCATATATTTTGCACCGATGGTAAATTAATTTTCATTTTTAATTTCCTTTAAATTGTGATTCATAATCCCCTTCGAATTGTTCACAATCTTTTTTTAAATCAACGATATTTACCTTATTCCCGTCTGTGAAAATTTTGGCAGTAATTGTTTGGCGAGTTTCGTCAAGAAACTCAGCCGTCGTTGCAGCACAAATTTACGTTCCTTCAAAAAAATAGATGTAGAATTGATGTTTTTGATGGTGGTAGGCTGGGGGCAGCTAAAGTTGCTCTCAAATATTTTCACTAGCACACACTTTTTATTTTGGCTTACGATAAAGTTGATAGCTTTTGTTGTTGTTATTTTTTTTTTCTTTTGAAGAAAGTTTTGATTTTACACACACGCGCTTTTGAACTTGTTAGGGTTTAATTATCCTTAAAATTGGGTTCCGGATGTGTGTGTGTGTGTGTTTGCCTGAATTTTGTTCGGAGTGTGTACTTGTATGGACTTTTGAACAGGTGAGTTCAAATAAAAGAGCAAATTAGATTATAAAACTTTGTAGCGTTAAATTGGTAATGCACACACGTGAGAGAAGCCACTTCAAAATCAGGATGACAAAAATTCACTTGCAAAAGTTTTTGAGATGGATTTTTTAGTTTTTATTTATTTATTTTTTTTTTAATATTTTTTGAAAATTTTTAAAGTTGTTTTTACACAAAATTACAGATATTTACTTCTTCTCTTTTTAATAATCCTTTTACTTTTTACTGTTATTTTTATACCCTTCACCACACTGTGGTACAGGGTATTATTATTAATATATTTTTATTATTTCAATTACACGTTGCAATCACAACAAAACGTGTATGGGATTAGCGTCACCAATTAAGATGTCCGATTATTGTAACAGAATTTTGTTACGCTTTTTCTAACACGTTGTGATTTGTTTAATGGGTACCGTTTTCTTTTTTGTTTATTTTTGTTTTTCTAATTGGATCGCAAGAGTCGCGTGCACTTCGATGCAAAGCTAATCAGCGAATGATCTAACGGTTTTATTCGCACCATGCAGTACCACCACGCGGCGCTATTTCAATTGAGAAAGTGTGAAGTCAATTCAAGCAAGGCTGGCAGGGTAGGCGAGCAGACGGGCAGCAGCATCGCACATTGCAGGCGACAGGCAACACCACCGTTTGACTTGTGGAAAAACAATGGCGACTCTGATGTTTGTTATGGCCAGACGGCCATATGATGGCCATGAAACAGACATGTCTCATCACACCACTCACACACACACACACGATTTGCTTGACAAAACCCGCCCCTTCGACATTCAGTGGAGAGTAACTGAGCATAAATTTCCCGTTATTTGCTTTAGTGCGCAGAATTACTCCGACTCTCTGGCTCTGTTCTCCCACAGAATCTTTATTTAGTTATTCAACTAAGTGATAGATTGAATTTAACTGTTTTCTGTTGATTGCCACCCTGTTTTGTGGACACTCCACCCCTTCCGTATGCTCTTTGTCTAACAGCAGAATAAACGAGTATTGCTCGCAGAGTGTGTGTGTCGGTGTGTTTGTGCAAAATGTCTTCATTAAAAGACAATTTTCTCATTTTGTGTGAATTTTCTTCACGTTTCGATGAGAAAATTGAATTTCCTTTCTCCTCTTAAGCGTAATGAGGTTTGTTGAAGGTAAAGAAGTTATGCTAACTGCTTGATGCTGCTGCCTGCCTGCCACTGCTGCTGTTGGTCGGCTGCCATTAGGATGTGAATGAGTCTCACTCCCCATCTTTATTTTTGCACACTGGTGATGGCGCTGGTCGTTGGCTGGTTCCTCTTGGATCATTCGGTTATTTTTATTATGGCTAAAGCTGTATACTTCATTTTATTACCCACTTTGGTACTGGAGGGATTTCCACATGGTAGGGGAGACTGGGGCACCTTCGGCACCTTTTTTTTAGAGCTCTATATCTCAGTACTTACTCAACATATATAACTACTTTATGGCTGATTATTGTCCTCGGACACTTAATTATAAAAAATAGTACCAAAAAGATGTAAAAAAATAGTATTAGTTAAAAAATTTTACAGTTTTGTAAAAAAAGTCAAATTCGCCGAATGTGCCCCAACCCGGGGTAGCTTCGGCATTTGATGGGGCACATTCGGCACCATAGTCATAGCCGGGTAATTGTCATCGCTATCAGTCTGGTTGAAATTCTGATCCTCTAAAGGCTCTATTTGGTTTTAATACGCCACACAATGTTTGAATTATAGGACTTTATTTTCTAGCGGCGGACGTTTACAACTCAAGGTCGCACACACCATCAGAAATAGGGGTTTTCTATCACATGTTCGTCAATACAAGCACGTTTGATCTTATATATGCAATTTCAGGCCATAATAAAGGATTAGTTTTAAAGACAAACTCAAAAACATTTTAAGGAAATAATATTGCACAATCTGTATATGGCCGAATGTGCCCCACTTTAAAATGCCGAATGTACCCCGAATGTACTTTTTATAGTTTTTTTTTTCATTTTTTTCGATCAGTTTAGTAAAAACATTATATTTTTAAATATTTTTATAATAATACACATCGTAGTTAACCACTTTCTAATAATATTGTCTTAAAAATTTAAAAAGTTTTATACACAAAATACTTACGAAATGGAATTGAAATATTACAGAAACATCTATAAAAATACAAAAACCCATGTATCTAAATAAGCTTATTAGCTAAAAATTTCAAACTTTGTGTCAGTTATTTATTTCGATATTCGATACCTATGTATCGAAACTAGTGATGTACGGTGAGAGCTTCATATCGAAAACGCGATTGCCGAAGGTGCCCCAGTCTCCCCTATGTGTAGGTGTTTGTATCAAGATTTCTCATTACCTTTGAGGCTCAGAGAAGAGTATATATAAAACAGAGAGAGTCACTATTCACATTGTATAAATGGGGGGAAAGGAGTTACAGTAAAAATTGGATTTCCATAGTCAAGCATTTTATTTTTTTATCTGCAATAAAACAGTGTTGCCGGTCAGCTATAGCCCAACAATATTTTGGTAGGTATATGTGAAATGTTTTTTTAAAGGATGATTTTTTTAGTCACATAAACAAAAATGGAGCCCATGGTCCGGGGATGGAAAGGAGTGGATTTTTTTAATGACCTACTATAAGGAGTGGATTTTTTAATGGCCTACTATAAGGCGTGGATTTTTTAATGGCCTACTATAAGGCGTGGATTTTTTAATGGCCTACTATAAGGCGTGGATTTTTTAATGGCCTACTATAAGGCGTGGATTTTTTAATGGCCTACCATAAGGCGTAGTCCCTATTTTTTTATTTTGAGAATTTCAGACATTTTTTTAAACTTCGTCCTAGCCCAATTTTCCAACCTCATATTTCGTTTTCTCCTGACAGCAATTTGCCATGACATATGCTGTCATTTTAGGTATTTTCACTGATCGCCGCAGACATAGTGGGTATAAAAAGTTTGTGCCAGCCGAACTTTTCTTTTTTACTTTTTTCGGTTGATTTTTAATAAGAAAAACATGTTTAGGATGCACCATTCGCTTCATATGAAAATGATATCGGTGGATCAAGTCTTCAAAAATTATAAAGGTTTGTTTGTGTCAACTTTGGTCGCATTATATTATAAAATCATGTTCATAAAAATTTAAATTTTCATAACAGGAGTGGGTCGATATTTCCCATCTTCGAACTTAACGTAGTTTTGGAGGAAATATTACGATATTACGCAATATTCGACAATTATTGTGTACATCGACTCCAAATGGTCTGAAATAGATTTGGGGATATAAATAATCGACATTAATTTTCCACAATGGCAACTCTGTAGGCATAGGCACCTCAAAACATGATGTGTGTGTAGTGTGTATGTATATGAATGGCCTTCCGCCCCATGTCCGTGTTGTTATCCTGTAGCCTGCTTTCTATATTTTGGATATCTTTGAACTGTTTGTTGGCTCTCAAAACGATTACTCACCAAGGAATTTATTTCGAATATCATTTTTGACAACTCAATTTATTTTTATTAATTTTCTTCTCCTCGCCGTAAACGAACGAACGAAAGAATGGATGAATGGACGGGCGTGCGAACCAAACCAGCAACCAACCATTCATGAACACGAACGAAGATTGTGCCGGAGAAGAGCAAAAAAAGCGAAACGTATAACAATCATTTCAAATTTGCCGTTTTAGTAGCAGCTACATATTTGCTGATATCGCTGCCACTGCTGTTGGGTGGGGTTTTCGTTCTGCTGCCACTGCTTCCGATGATGATGATGACGACGACGATGAGGTTGATGCCTGCCATTGTTATTCTTCTTCAGGGTTTTTTTAATGCCACTCGTCGTAAGTGAATTCAGTTAATTTATTATCGGGTATTATTGCCTTTATTGTTACTGTTTTTTTGTTTTTGTTTCTGTTGGTGTGTTTTTGCTACACAAGCACATAATCATTTATTTCACTCAACTTATTATCCTGTCATTCCTTGACTTTCTCTCTCCCTCTCTGCCTCTTGCTCTCTTTTCCCGTCGACTCAAATAGAATGCTGTTCATTCCAAAAGTTTTTTAATACGAAAAAATATATCGAGATTTGTTAGGGATTTTTTTTCGATTTTTTTCGGAGTTTGATGATGATAAAGTCATTTGGGGAAAGGAAAATGCCATTGAGATTTGACAGCAAAGCATGGCACAAAAAAATATAATTTGAATTAATTAAATGGAACAATAATTACTTTATTACTGGAAAATGGAAATAGAAAAAACTGGGTGTTCCATAGCGACAGATAAAGCAATTAATATGCCTAAATGGTTGTTTGTATGTATTTACCTAGCAAGGTGCTATGTTATTAATTTTCATAAGCTGAAGTGGGTATTTCTTGGTATTAGCCATCTGCTGTCCTTCCTTAAAACATCATTCCATTACCTCTGCTTCTATTACTAAATAAATGGAGCAATTAGTAAATGAATTCCTGTTATTGTAAACTACATTAAGTCAGATGCATTTGAGATAGAGGATTTGGATTATTATTAGATTGGGGAGTAACAAAATGGCAGATATCTTTGGAGATCATATTATTGACAAGGGCCATCTTAACAGGTTTATCATATGTCCTTTAAGGTATTTCGGACTACATTTCACAAATATATATTATGCTATCCGGGTTGAGGTCTACAATCAAGTATCCGAAATATTTTACG